ATGAAGCCCTTGCCTTCCAAGAACACAAATTCTAGTGTATGTTAAATACATAAGCAAGTACGTTGACATGGTGATAAAGTCTACGAATTAAATAAAACAGGTGGCCAGGTGTGGTGGCTTACACCTGTGATCCCAGGACTTTAGGAACCGAGATGGGAGGATCACTTAAGGCCAGGAGTTTGAAACCAGTCTGGGAAACACAGGGAGACCCCAATCTCTACAAAAAATAAAAATAAAAATTTAAAAAATTAGCCAGACATGTAGTCCCAGCTACTCAGGAGACTGAGGTGGGGGGATCACTTGAGCCTGGAAAGCAAAGGTTGCAGTGAGCTAAGATCATACCACTGCATTACAGCCTGGGCAGCAGAGCAGGACTCTCTCTCTCTCTCTCTCCTCTCTCTCTCTCTCTCTCTCTCTCTCTCTCTCTAATTTACATATATATATATAAATTAAACAGATAATAAAGTCGAGAACGACTCGGGGGTGATAGTCAAGAGGTGATCAGAAGACAGGAAGGGAGATGAGGTTTTGCACTGGGAAGGGGCCCAGCATGAAAACACAGAGCGGAGGCTGTGGGGTCAGGGAGATCAAAAGAGAAAAGGTCTCAGAGAAGGAAGATGACCTCAGTGTGCAGGAAAAAAGAAGTTCCGAGCGGCTGGAGTGCCAAGGCCAAGGAAGAGAGTAGGGGGAGCACTGGTTTGGCAAGCCCTCCTTTATTCTAAGTGCGAAAGGAAAAGTCATTAGAGGGTTAGAGGCGGAGGAGTAATAACATCTGGCTTCTGTTTAAGGAACATAGTGTGATTAATACGGGCTTGCTTAATAAAAAGGTAACAAAATAACAGACTCTGGGAGCATAGAAGAGGGCATGTAGCCAAGTCTAGGGGACAGGAAGATCTTCCCGGATAAGGGGTATTAGTTATCCATTGCTGCATAATGAACTGCTCTCAAAACTTAGTAGCTGAGGTCAATAGTAAACATTTATCAGCTGGGTGGAGTGGCTCACGCCTGTCATCCCAGCACTTTGGGAGGCAGAAGTGGGCGGATCACCTGAAGTCAGGAGTTCGTGACCAGCTTGGCCAATATGGAAAAACCCCATCTCTACTAAAAATACATTAGCTGGGTGTGGTGGCATGCACCTATAATCCCAGTTACTCAGAAGGCTGAGGCAGGAGGATTACCTGAACCTGGGAGGTAGAGGTTGCAGTGAGCCGAGATTGCGCCATTGCACTGCAGCCTGGGTGACAGAATGAGCCTCCATCTCAGAAAGCAAAAACAAAAACAAAAAAACATTTATCATCTCATAGTCTTTGAGGGTTGGGAATTGGGGAGTAGCTTTGCTGCAGGGAGCAGGAGATATTTTGGCTCAGAGTTCTTCATTGGAGTCAGTTAGGATGTCAGTCACGTAAAGTCTCCTGGGGCTGGAGGACTCACACGCAACATGGCTCACTGACGTGGGTGGTGAGTTGGCCTGGCTGTTTGTTGGTGGACGACTTAGCTTCTCGACATATGGACCCCTGCAGAGCTGCTTGAGTGTCCTCCCAACATGGCAGCTGGCTGACCTCAGAGCTAGTGATCTAAGAGAGAGAAAGGGCAGAAGCTGTTGCTTCTTTCATGATCACGTTTCATTATCACGTTCCGGAAGTCACAATAGCATTTTGGCAACATCTTACTGGTTACACAAGTTGGCCCTATTCAACCTGGGCCTACACAGGAGTGTGAAAACCAAGAGGTGGAAATCACTGGGGCCCATCTTGGGGGCTGGCTTGTCTAAGTCTCAAAGGATGAGTACAAATTAGCTAGGTAATGAAGGTTGCTGTTATGGTGTGAATTTTGTCCCCCTAAAATTCACATGTTGAAGCCCTGACCCCTCACACCTCAGAATGTGACTATACTTGGAGATAAGGCCTTTAAAGAGAGGATTAAGTTAAAATGAAGCTGTTAGGACGGTCCCTAGTCTAATCTGACTGGTGTCCTTATAAGAAGAGGAGATTCACACCTGTAATCCCAGCACTTTGGGAGGCCAAGGTGGGAGGATCACCTGAAGTCAGGAGTTCAATATTCAGCCTGGCCAACATGGCGAAACCCAATCTCTACTAAAAATATAAAAAATTAGCTGGACGTGGTGGCAGGCGCCTGCAATCCCAGCTACTCGGGAGGCTGACGCAGGAGAATCGCTTGAACCCAGGAGGTGGAGGTTGCAGTGAGCCCAGATTGCACCACTGTACAATGGGTTTTGCACCCAGTTTTGCCTGGGTGACAGAGCAAAACTGTCTCAAAAAACAAAAGAGGAGATTGAACACACAGAGAGACAGCCAGGAGGTGCACACCCAGAAGAAAGGCCATGTGGGTACACAGCCGGAATGTGGCCATCTGCAAATCAAGGAGAGAGGACTGTCAAGAAGCCGAACCTGCTGACAGCCCGACCTTGGACTTCCAGCCTCCAAACTGCAAGACAATCCATTTCTGGTTTTCAAGCCACCCAATCTGGCATTTTGTTATGGCAGCCGGGGCAATCTCCTATAGTTGGAAAAGCTGTTTCAAGGTCGAAAGACTGGCCTGAACAAAGATATAGAAGTGTGAAACAGCATATTAAAAAAAAAAAAAAATCAGCATTACTACATCCAGAAGCAATCTGCAAAATTTTTCTATAGAGGGCCAGATGATATTTTAGACACTTGGGGCTGTAAAATCTTGGTTGCTGGAAAGCAGTTGTAGATAATATCTAAACAAATGAGGGTAGCTGTGTTTGAATAAAACTTTATTTACAAAGACAGAAGGCAGCCCAGATCTGGCCTATGGGTTGTAGTTATCTTTCCCCTGTGGAAGAAGGGTGTGGGGAATGTGGGAGATGGGCCAGGGGCAGGGTGAGAAACATTTCAGGAGGAAAACCCTGGCCTGAACCCAGGCTCCTCTTCAGCTCTGATCATTTTGTCTCTTCATGTGTTCCTGAACTGAAATATTCAAGCACGTCATTCCTTTCAAGCCTCCCGTCCCAGGGCAGGTGATGAGGTTGGTGTGTTTACAGAGGGTCCTGTATTGCTTGCTCAGTTCTTCGCTCCACCTCCAGCAGCCTGACCTCTCTGTGCCTCTATTTTCTCATCTGAAAAACAGGAATATTACCAAACAAAAGGGTTCTGTGCTTGCTGTGCTAGAAGCCAATCTTGGCCAGGTGCAACAGCTCACGGCTGTAATCCCAGCACTTTGGGAGGCAGAGGTGCGTGGATTACCTGATGTCAGGAGTTCAAAACCAGGCTGGCCAACACGCTGAAACCCCATCTCTATTAAAAATACAAAAATTAGCCGGGCATGGTGGCAGGTGCCTGTAATCCCAGCTACTCAGGAGGCTGAGGCAGGAGAATTACTTGAACCCGGGAGGCAGAGGTTGCGGTGATTGTGCCATCACATTCCAGCCTGGGTGACAAGAGGGGAACTTCATCTCAAAAAAAAAAAAAAAAAAAAAAAAAAAAGAAATAAAAAAAAGCCAATCTCACTGCACTAAGTTTTTGAGACAAAAGCTTTTATTGTGAGTTGATCAGTAAAGAGACAGGAGCCTGGCTCAAATCTGTCTCTCTGTGCTGGCTTTAAGGCAGTATTTTATTAGAAAAGGTTTAGGAGGTGGATTTTAGGATTAGCAGGTGATAGAGGAAAGGGGAGAGCTGAAATGTCTCAGACATCTCTGTCTCACAAGAATTAACGTGAGCATTAAGTGAGGTGGCCAAGGTTGCCCAGGGCCTGGCACACGGAAAGTCGTCAGTGTTTATTCCCACACCCATCAATGTCTATTTCTACCTCCATTGTGAATATGGGGTCATTACTACTGGAAATCACACCATGATAGCTGTCCACAAAAAGTTTCACTCCCGGGCTAGGGGCAGTGGCTCACACCTGTAATCCCAGCACTTTGGGAGGCGGAGGCAGGCAGATCACCAGGTCAAGAGATTGAGATCATCCTGGCCAACATGGTAAAAACCTGTCTCTACTAAAACTACGAGATTAGCTGGGCGTGGTGGCGAGCACCTGTACTCGCAGCTACTCGGGAGGCTGTGGCAGGAGAATTGCTTGAACCCAGGAGGCAGAGGTTGCAGTGAGCTGAGATTGTACCACTGCACTCCAGCCTGAGAAACAGAGTGAAACTCCATTCCCCCCCCCCCCAAAAAAAAAAATAGAGGTTCACTCCCAGGGCCTGGGTTCTGCATATTGATTCCAAGCCACCTGAATCTCCCAGCTGCAGCCCACATTCCTCAAAGGGAAAATCCGAAGTGCTGAGGACACAGCTGGTTTTTAAACAAGTCCCCAGGGAGGGTAGTTGGGGCCACAGCCCAGAGCTGACCTGGCCTTTTTTTTGCATCACTGTAAGCAGGAGTGCCATGACCTGATTTGTCTTTTAAAACTCTGGGTGAGAGACAGATTGTAGGGGAGGGAAAATTCCTTTCTTCTTCCTTTTCAGTGTCTTAGATGTTCATTAATTGGGGGTCACGGGTCTACCCTCTCCTACACCGGTTCACTGGGCTACTAGAAGGTTAGATCTCGAAATAGCCCACCCAACCGCGGAAGCCCAGAGCCTACAAGCAACTCAGGGACACAGAACCGGCCCCGCCCTTCCTGCAGGGACCCCCCCGCTCCTCGTTAAACTGCTGTCAGGTGGGTTGTAAACCCCGCCTCTCCGCAATCAACCTCACCCCTTCCTTCAAAACCCCGCCCCTCCTCTGAGGCCTCGCTCCCTCGAGGCCGCATCCCTGTCCATTGGGTGGCCGGCAGGAGGCGCCAGAGTACAGCTCGCCTTTACTAGTATGTTAGCCCCGCCCCTCTCCTCGGGGCCCCGCCTCCTCGAGGCTTTGATCTGCCTATTGGAAGCCGAGGCCCCGCTTCAGGCCGCCTTTTCTCGGCCGCCCCTTCCCCTCAGGACCTTGTTTCTGCCTATTGGGCGCCGAGGTGCCCGCTACAGCCGCCTCTCCTCGCCCCGCCCCTCCCTCGTTGGCCCCGCCCCCGCGAGGGCCTACTCCGTCCGTTGCGTGGCCGGCAGGAGGCGCAGCGGCACGCGCGAGGCTGGGCGCCAGCCCCGGCCGACGGCGGGTGGGAGCAGCGCGGGAACGTGGTGGCGCGGCGGGCTGTTCCTGAGGTGAGTGCGGGGTGCGCGAGGAGTGGCCTCGGAGGTAGGGGTGGCTCGCAGGGGGCGCTACTCGGCCGCTGCCGGGGGCCCGGGGCTCGGAGGCCTCAGGGCGCGCTCCGCGACCCTCCCGGGCGCGGGTCAGGGCGCGGAGGGCAGGCTTGTTCGGTTGCCATGGAAACCGACCGGCTCTCGGGCCCCGGCCTGGTCGGGGGTGCTGCACTCGGAGGCCGGCGAGCGCGGGCAAGAGCTGCCCAGACTTCGGGGGTCCGCGCTGCCGTCCTCCTCGAACCCCTTCTGGCCGTCCGCGCTGGCCCCGAAACCTGAACTCCAGGAGACTCTCGGCCCTCAGTTTCCCCGGCTGTGCCCTGGAGGGGGACGTTCGTTTCGAGGTTGGGGGACGCCGCGAGGGAGCGGGCCTTAGGGTTCCGCGCGCTCTCGCACCCGGGCCGGCGAGACGCCCCCAGCACGCAGCCCTTCGCGGTTGCAGCTAGATTCCCACCCGTGCGCCAGCTCAAAGCCTTGTTTCCCGGTTATTTCTGTACCATTTCCAGCCCCTAGATAAATACTGCATTCAAGAAAACAGATGCTGAGCCGAGCCCCTGTGGCCCCGCGGGAGCCCGTTGGTGGGGTTGGCAGGACCCGGGCCGGGCTGCGGACCTGCCTGCGCTGCCCTGTCGCCTGTCAAGTGTTTGGCTAATCTGAATTGCACAAAAGAATGTGATTGTTCATGTTCCCGGGTTAACATGGGCCACCTCTTGTGAATTCCAGACAGGAACCAGTCTTGAAAGTCCCTTTTGCTGGGGGGCAAGTCAGTCCCCTCTGCAGCACCTAGCAAGTCAGCATTAAATCTGATGGAATTTGCGTTTGAAAGCGTGGCTCCGGCTGGGGCAGTAAAGATAGGATTCATGGAAGGAGGGCAGAGGGCAGGGTGGGTGAAGCCTGCTCTTGGTTTTTCCTCCTGCTAAAAATCATAATGGGTTCCACATTGTCCTCTTGGAGCAGAGAGGTCACTCCACCCATGTCGTCAGCGCAGCCCTGACCTCACTCCCTGGACTTGTGGCTAGGACTTGAGCTTGTTTTTCATCAGAAACTGGACCCTTCCTTCAGAACAAGAGAAAACATTCTCTAAGAGCAGCACCAGCCAGCGCCCCACACCCTCGCTGTCCGAGCCCTGAGCTTTCCCCAAGTATTTGTGTCACAAGAGGAGCAAATGGGGCAGAAGAGGCTGGTCGCACTTCCAGAAAAACAGATCTGGTTACCCAGGGTGTGCTCCGCTCTCTGGGTCGGATTTTCCTGCACTCCTCTTGGCCTTTTAAAAAACGAGTCCATCCCATTCTCACAAACAGGCCGGGTCCCGCCTTCGGGGACTTGGAAGCTGGCTGCGTGTGAGCAAGGGGACACCCTCTGGCCTGGTGAAGGGAGGATGGCCACACGGGGAGAAAGGCTTTCTGAAAACCCCAAAACAGATGAGGTTTATGTGCACAGGGACTTCTGGGAGCTTAAGAAGGAGTTACTGGGAAGGAGTGAATCACATTCTCTCTGCTTACATTTTCTCCTGTCTCATGATGCTGCTAACTCTGCCTCTGCCTTTGAATCCCGCTGGAGTTTTCAGAGAAACTGCTGGAAAAGTGGGGGTGGGGGCATTCGGGGAACGACACTGTGGAAGTTGAAGCTTCCAAAGCTCTGGGAGGGGACCTAGCAGTTGTGTGTTTGTAATTTTCCATTTGTTTTTTATTAAGGAAGAATTATGTAAATGTCAGAGCTTAAAAAACAGTATATCCACCCCTGGGCCCCCAAATATCAACTCACTTCTCCATTGTATTTGGGGGCCTTTTTATAATTTTGGTCTTTTTTTTTTTTTTTTTTTTTTTGAGATGGAGTCTCACTCTGATGCCCAGGCTGGAGTGCAGTGATCTCGGCTCACCGCAACCTCTGCCTCCTGGATTCAAGCGATTCTCCTGCCTCAGCCTTCTGAGTAGCTGGGACTATAGGTGCACGCCATGCCTGGCTAATCTTTTGTTTTTAGTTTCTGTAGAGATCAGGATCTTGTTATGTTGCCCAGGTTAGTCTCAAACTCCTGGCCTTAAGCCATTCTCCCGTCTTGGTCTCCCATCTGGAGGCCTTTTAAATACTTGCCTCTGCTTTTCATTACTTTTCTGTGACGTGGGCTTTCTCCTGCATGGAGGGGCTTCCCCATTTTGGTGTCATGTTTACATCAGCATTTAGACTTCATTGCCAGAGGCAGAGGTTTCCTGAGCCACAGTTGCCTGGTGGCAGAGGCTGTACTGTCCACCACCTGGAGTTTGGCTTGGCACCCTGGGGAACCTCCCTTGGAAATGTCCACTATGAGAAGGCGGTGGCTGATCCTCTGGCAGTGTGTGCTGGCTGGAGGCTTCTAAGCCTGGGCGTCTGGAGAAGCGCTTGCGGGCACGTTTGTGCAGCTCTCATGGATGGTTAATAAGTGCTGGCTGGAGAGGCTCTTTGAGGGGTTTTGTTCTCTTAATTCCAAGGACTCACTTTGAAAACTGACCACAGGAGGCTGAGGTCAGACTCGAGGGCATTCTGAAGCCGCCAGTGTGGTGTGCCCAGGCAAAGCCACACATTTGTGATGTGAGCACTGTCTGAAAATGCTTTTGTTGTAAATTAAATCGAGGCCTTTGATGAGTCCTTTGGGGAAGCTGCAGCCCACTCTGAGCTTTCTTAGGATTTGACAAGGAGATTCGTTGCACCGCCCTCAGAGGAAGAGAAACAAAGGCTTTCCTCCTTGATGGCCTGGCTTGCTGGGGCCAAAGAGACCCTGGAGGCTGTGTCTATCTGCTCATGACCTGTACTGCGATCTCCATGACACCCGTTATAGCAAGTTCACGTCTTCAGAGAGCCAGGCTCAGGGAAAGGCTTTGCCGTGGTGAACCGCCAGCAGTGGGCTGTGGGAACAGAAGTGGCAGCCACCCACCCCGCAGGGCAGGTGTCCGCGTTCACAACCCATTCTTTGGTGTGCGAAGCTGTTGGAAGTATTTTTGAAGAGTTCAAGGTCCTTGGAGAAAGTGCAGCTGCTGGCTGACCTGGGCTGGTTCTGGAGGAAGCGCATGGTGGTCTGATTTCAGGAGTCATCCATGACAGCTCTGGTTAGCAGTCAGAGGCTCCAGAAAAGATGACCGATGCCTCAGCGACATTAGAGAGTCCAGTCTGCAGTGTCAGCTTTGGAGGCTGGGACGGTTCCACTGTTTAGTTCCCTAAGGGAGAGTGTGACTCCTTGTCTTTGGAGAGGTTCCCTGGTTGCTTTCTCCAGCCCTCAGCAGCCACCGTCCTTTCTAGAAGCCTTCTGCAGTGCCCACTGCACGAGGAGTGGCAGGCCTGGACAGTGTCAGTTGACTGCTGCCGAGTTCGTGCTGACCCGGGTTGCAGTGGCAGGCGACCAGTGACTCGGTCCACTCTGCCAGAGCTTTTCAGAAAACAGGCTTTCCTCCGGGCTCATTCATCTGCCACCTTTGTCTTTGGTGAGAACCTGAACACGGAAGTGGGCTGCAGGAATCAGGAGATGGGTGCGCTGTCTCCCAGCGTTTCCCTGCGTTGTGTTCAAGCCTCACCTTTTGTACCTCTTCCTTTTTCTCTGCCCTCCTGCCCCCACAGAGGTTCTGGAGGGAGACTGAGAAACCCTCTGGAACTCCTGGCCCTGAGCACACTAAGGACATTGGAAGTGTGATTGTATGACAGGCCAGCGTGTCCCAAGACTGTTTTCTAGTTTCCCCAGGAGACTGCATCTCTGTGGCCTGGAGCGCCGGGCACCCCGGCCTGTGGTGGGCGGGACGCATGCATTCCGGCCATGCCTGCACGAGCTCTAGGGGGGCCCTTTGTGCCCGCTGTGCTTGTGAGGCCACTCGGTGCTGTGGTCCCAGGGAGTGTCTCCTTCAAGCCAGGACAGGTCTCTTGCCCAGAGAGGTAGATTCTGGGGGTTTGTGTCTGGAATGTCTGATAGTTGGTTCTGTTAACATGGCTGCAATTTGCCAGTTTTCCTGGCTCCACCGTGTTTGTGATCCATTTCCCGCACTGCAGCCTGTGGTGGCGGAGTCATAGGGTTTGTGGAGAAGTGAAGCTTTGCCCTCGGGCTGCCTGCTGCTCTTCTGCGACTGTGGTGGTGCTGGGGGTGGCTCCGGGTGGGATGTTCCTTGATGTTCACCGCACGCAGGCATTGCACCCAGCACTTCCCGGAAATCCAGGCCCCACAGTGGAGTGTATCTTACTGTGGCGACCTCATCGCATTTCCCAGTAATGGCTTTCATTGAAGGACATCCAGCCTGTTGAGACCTCTCTGTCTCTGGTGGCCCTGAGAGCTCCAACCACATCCTTTACTCAGGTGCTCTGTGAGGACTGGGCCCCTGGTGGCAGGTCTGTGGGGCCAGGATGCCCATGGCCTGTTATGACCATTAGGTTTTCAGATGTGGTCTTGCTCTGTTGCCCGGGCTGGAGGGCCGTGGTGTGATCATAGCTCGCTGCAAACTTGAACTCCTGGGCTCAAGCCATCCTCCAGCCTCAGCCTTCAGAGCAGTAGGTACTACAGGTGCACGTCACCGCACCTGGCTAATTGTTAAATTTTTTGTAGAGATGGTGTCTTACTATGTTGCCCAGGCTAAAATGATCGTCCTGCCTTGGCCTTCCAAAACGTGGGGATGACAGGCAGGAGCCACCTCTTGTGGCTTCATTTGCTTTTGGTGCTCATGATGGGTGGTGCTAACCTCTCTTACTTTTTCTCCCAGGCCACGGCTCCCTAGCATTCTTTGGCTGAAGCCCCGGTCCTTGCCCATGAAGCGTCACCCATCATGTTTTATGGGACGCACTTCATCATGTCCCCGCCCACCAAGAGCAAGCTGAAGCGACAGAGCCAGCTGTTGTCCAGCATGCTGTCCCGGACGCTGAGCTACAAGTACCGGGACCTGGACTCCACCTTCTCCAGCCTGGGCACCAGTGACGACCCTGCTGAGCTCTCCACCCAGCTCTCGGCCCCTGGCGTCCTGAAGGTGTTTGGGGACAGTGTCTGCACAGGAACTCACTACAAAAGCGTCCTGGCCACCGGCACCTCCAGCGCCCGTGAGCTGGTGAAGGAGGCACTGGAGCGGTACGCCCTGGACCCTGGGCAGGCCAGCCAGTACGTGCTGTGTGACGTGGTGGGCCAAGCTGGTGACGCTGGGCAGCGATGGCAGGCTCAGTGCTTTCGGGTTTTTGGGGACAGTGAGAAGCCCCTCTTGATCCAGGAATTATGGAAACCCCGAGAAGGTTTATCCCGGAGGTTTGAGCTGAGGAAGAGGTCAGATGTGGAGGAGCTGGCAGCCAAGGAGGTGGACACCGTCACGGCAGGTGAGGAGGGCGGCAGGTTCAGGAAGAGCCTTGGGTCTGAGTGCTGAGGCCAGCAGGGGAGGGGCAGAAGGAGCGGCGCAGGGACGCTCTTGGGGCAAGCTCGCTCTGTGGGAGGCAGTCGGAGCCCCGTGTCCTGGATGTTTGAAGGCTTCCTCTTTTGTTTTCTGAGACAGGGTCTTGCTCTGTTACCCAAGCTGGAGTGTAGCAGTGCAATCACAGCTCACTGCAGCCTCAACCTCCTGGGCTCAAGTGATCCTCCTGCCTCAGCCTCCTGAGTAGCTAGGACTTTAGGTATATCACTACACTCAGCCAATCTTTTTTTTTTTTTTTTTTTTTTGAGATGGAGTCTCGCTCTGCCTCCTGGGTTTAAGCGACCATGCCCAGCTAATTTTTGTATTTTTAGTAGAGACAGAATTGCACTATGTTGGCCAGGCTGGTCTTCAACTCCTGACCTCAAGTGATCTGCCCACCTTGACCTCCCAAAGTGCTAGGATTACAGGCGTGAGCCACCATACCTGGTGCTAATTTTTTACTTTTTGTAGAGATAGGAGTCTCACTGTGATGCCCAGGCTAATTTTGAACTCCTAGCCTCAAGTAATCCTCCTATCTTGGCCTCCCAAAGGCTTCCTCTTGAACTCACCGTTTTCACCTCAGCTGTCTGTGAAGTCATAGTTTGTCTATGTGGCAGGAGGCTGGCTGGTGTTCCTTAGTGGCTCCTGATAAATTCTTGCAATGTTTGAGGCCGTATCTGTTCTATCTGATCAGATCATTGTCCAACTCTCCAGCAGTCATCTCATTGACCACAGCAAACACATGAGCCTTGTTAAATACAGGGTCACGGCAAGTCCCTTAGCACCTGTGACCTTGTTGAGGAGTTTTGGGGGCAATCAAATGAAAAGACAATCAAGGAAGCTGTCCCAGACGAAAACCTACGTGGCATTGCAGGGTTGCAAGGTCTCCAGAGGTGACCAGGTTGCACTTGGCATGCCACGGGTCTGTGGGTACCTGGGCGATCAGAGGCCTTCCTGAGGAGGTCCCAGCCACGGCAGCTGGTCATTGTCCGGTCCGAGGGTGCCGAGAGTGGGAGCAGCTTTGGGTGCCTGCTCCAGGCTTGAGAGCCCATGACCTGGGCCCATTGTTTGTGCCTGGTTATTTATTCAATGGTGGAAAGGAGTTATGTTAATAGGTATGTGTCATAAAAAATAATTTTAGCCCCATGTGGTAGCTCACACCTGTAATCCCAGCAAATTAGCCAGGCATGATGGTGTACACCTGTAGTCCCAGCTACTTGGAAAGCTGAGGTGGGAGGATTGCTTGAGCTGCGGAGGCAGATGCTGCAGCTAGGATCACACCACTGCACTCCAGCCCAGGCAACAGAGTAAAACCATGTCTCAAAAAAAGAAAAAGAAAAAGAGTAACTTCAGAGTGCTTTAATTATGGGTCTTAAAGTCTGCTCAGACAAGCACTCCCGACTGTCTGTACCTGGGGGCCCTTCCTCCACCCCAAAGGCCACTGCTTCTGGGATTTGGTTTTCATCCTGTCCCTGCTGTATCATGATCCAGTGGCCCCTTGGAGGGACCAGTTATCCAATGGCATAGAAGGGGTCCCTACCCTCCTGATTCAAAAAGACCTCCTATGAAGCTGGGAAACCTGAATGGGAAGAGGTGCATGCTGGGATGTATTCTGCACAGAAACAAAGGGTCTTCAGTATCAGACACAGAATTTTAGTCATTCTTCTGCCCTGTGTTGCTGCTGCCAAGTGGATGGCAAAGAGTGAGTGGGACAGGGCCATCTCAGGGCTGCAGAGTGTGGGCTGGGGGTCAGCCTGGTGCATCCTGAGGCCATTGCATTCTGCATCAGTGGCTGAGGAGGAGCTCTGGGGAAGCCCGCCTGCTGGCACTGGTGATGGGTGATTGCTGTTGTAGGATGGACAGGGCCAGACTGCACATCACAGGATAAAGGAGCTTGTCTGAGGCTCATGTGCTGCCTTTTTTTTTTTTTTTTTTTTTTGAGATGGAGTCTCTGTCACCCAGGCTGGAGTGCAATGGTGTGATCTTGGCTGACTGCAACCTCCGCCTCCCGGGTTCAAACGATTTTCCTGCCTTAGCCTCCTGAGTAGCTGGTATTACAGGTGTACACCACCATGCCTGGCTAATTTCTCTATTTTTAGTAGAGATGGGGTTTCACCATGTTGGCCAGGCTGGTCTCGAACTCCTGACCTCAGGTGATCTCCCTGCCCCAGCCTCCTAAAGTGCTGGGATTACAAGTGTGAGCCACCGCACCTGGCGAAGCGTATGCACTTCTTTTGGAGTCATTCCTGGCATTTTATTTAGGGCAAGCGAAAGTGCCCCTGCTCACAGCCTGTCTAACTTGGTGCTGGTTTTCAAAACGTGCCAAAGAGTCCATCAGGTTGCCCAACCGTACTAATACACTCGTCTGGGCTGTGGTGGGTTGTGTTACCTGCCCAGAGCCAGCCCCCTGGGCCCTGGGGACTCATCCTTCCTTGCCGACCTTCTTCTCTGGCTGTGGCCCGGGGACTCCTATGCCCCCCTGGCCATGCCAAGAAGGTTCACAGAGGTGGCTGGGTGGTTTGAGATGGAGCAGCTGATACAGGCATGCACACATGCTTCCGCTCATACAGACCAGTTATTGAGCCTCTGCATGGAGCCGGGGGAAGGCTAGACTCGGGGGTCCCCATGTGGATAAGCCAGGCTTCGCTAGGGAGGACCCTGCACAGACCCCGCTACCGCCGGACACCCCTGCCCCGCGCCCAGAACCTTTGCGCTAGAGCATGTTCAGTTGTTGTGGTGACACGTGGGTACCCAGACATGGAGATGTCCACACAGCTACGCACACACTCCACGTCCCCCACTTGGAACTGTTCCCGCGTGAGGCACCTGTGTGGCCTTTCCGTGGATTGGAGGTGGCCTCTGTGTGCATCCTGGGAACCTGCCGGTTAAGTCTTTCTCGCTGGCTCAGAGGCACGGAATGGGGAGTGCTGAGCTTTTGTGTCGTGTCCCATGTCCCCCTCAGTGAGTCTGCAGCCTGCGCTAGGTGCTTCCTCTCTCGCCCCTCTCAGGGGAACGACTGAGAGCCAGAGAAGGGGAGGCTGTGAGAAGCCGAGGGGTTGTTCACTGTGGCAGCTTCTCCAGCAGCCATGGGCGCCACCTGCCTCAGGTTGGAGTGATGTGGAAGAATCCTGGTGGGGGAGGCTTTCCTAATACCTGCCGTGTCCTTTCCCTTACATACCCCCAGTGATGGGGAGCTCTGCACCTCCCAGCAGCCATCTGTCCTGCGCCTCCTTGGGCCCTGATGGAGCTGTTGCGGTGCATGTTTGTCCTGAGAGCGGCCCTCAATGTGGGGCACGTGTCACATGTCACTGCGGAGGGCGGGGGCCTGCTGTAGTTTCAGAAGGACGGCAAGATGGCATCTGCCTCTGCAGGCAGGCCAGTGAGGTCCTGCGCACGCCAGGGCCCCTTCATCTCCTGCATTCTTTCCCCAGAGGACCCAGCATGGGGCTGTCCCTGCTCTCTGGTGACAGAACAGTCCGATCTCATCTGGAAAAAGTGGCAAAAAAAGGAAGGAACATTTAGCCTATGCCTGTGGTGTGCATGTGTGTGCATGCAGGTATGTCCATGTGTGCATGTGTGTGCGTCCAGGTTGTGTGCACGTGTGCATGTGTATGTCCGTGTCTGTGTGTGAACGAGTTTGCCCCAGTTGCTGAACACGGTAACACTGTTTTTCTATAATTTCCAGTTACTGCTCTTACGGTGAGAGTCACACTTGGCCAGGCACAGTAGCTTATGCCTCTAATCCCAGCATTTTGGGAGGGTGAGGCCGGCAGATCATTTGAGGTCAGTGGTTCGAGACCTGTCTGACCAACATGGTGAAACCCCATCTCTACTGAAAATACAAAAGAATTAGCCAGGCATGATGGTGCACGCCTGTAATCCCAGTTACTTGGGAGGCTGAGGCAGGAGAGTTGCTTGAACCTGGGAGACAGAGGTTGCAGTGAGCCGAGATAGTACCACTGCACTCCAGCCTGGGTGACTGAGCGAGACCCTGACTCAAAAAGAAAAGCTGGCTGGGCATGGTGGCTCACGCCTATAATCCCAGCACTTTGGGAGGCCTAGGTGGGCGGATCACAAGGTCAGAAGGTTGAGACCATCCTGGACAACATGGTGAAACCCGTCTCTACCAAAATACAAAAAAAATAGCCAGGCGTGGTGGTACATGCCTGTAGTCCCAGCTACTCAGGAGGCTGAGGCAGGGGAATTGCTTGAACCCAGGAGGTGGAGGTTGTAGTGAGCTGAGATCACGCCACTGTACTTCAGCCTGGTGACAGAGCAACACCCCGTCTCAAAAAACAAAAAACAAACAAACAAACAAACAAAAAACAGAGTCATGCTGGTCTGAGTTGGGCTAACAGGTTGCACCATTTCAGAGGAAATATTTCGCCAGAGCCTCTCAGGCCTCACCCCTGCCCCTTCACTGGGACTCCCCTGCAGATTCAGGTGGGGAGGGTGAGTCAGCCAGGCACTTCCTGCCGGAGGTCAGTCATCATTTACTTCACTGCTGCCCACCTGTAGAAATGCACACAGGCACTTTGGGTGTTTATCCTCCATAAACATTGCCCTTCATAGCTGCCAGGCTCCCCCTGGTTTCCAGAGTCACAAAACCTAGAGGGTCTCTTCCAGGAGGGGGCTGGTGCTGGAGGAGTGAGTGGGCTCGAAGTGGTTCTCACCCTCTTTTCCCAGAAGGCTGGTGTTTAGGGCTGGTGCCTCTCGAGGAGAGGGCCTGGGTCCCGTCATGGAGATAAGACAGCAGTCACCTAGGCATACTGGGGAGGGGCGATGGCAGGGCCATGTGGCTATTGTCAGGGCTCGGGAAGGATGAGGGGAGGGTTGCTTTGTCTTTGTAGCAAGAGTGAGAGTCCTGGGAAGGCTGTCCTTCCTCGCTTTCTCCCTTTCTCCTGTTACATTTTAGGTTGGGGCATCTTT